GTGTTGGTGTGTACATTTGATTCAGTTACACCCTCACTCACACCCACAGCTTCAAGAATTATAATCGATTGAAATCTTTCAAATCAACAATAATTCGATTTTTAATCAAAAACTAATTTTCTAAATCAAATATAATTTTGATTAAAATCATGTAGTTCTGATTAAAAATATAGTAAATCAAGTTTGTATGATTTTAACCAAAATTATATTTGATTTAGAAGATTAGTTTTTGATTAAAAACCGAATTATTGTTGATTTAAAAGATTTTAATCGATTATAATCCTGATTTTGTTGCACAAAAATTCGATTATAATCTTACATAATGAGGTGTAATTTGACAATTTTCCACTGGGAAGTGTAAACCAAACATTTCCATATTTATAATATATACATGATCAATATGTCTATCAAAAAGTGATTTTCCAACTGAATAAATAATCATAAATGTGAAATAAGGAAATGCGATAACCGCTTTTAATAGTGATTCAACTCTATGTTAGAGTTTAAGACCTGTTAAAGGTAGAAAACTGGGTGTGAATGTACGTGAGGGTGTAACTGAATAAAGTATACACACTGACACCCCCACATTCACACCCACCCTCTGTAATATTTCTTTGTAAAAAGTATAGAAATTAAATGAGTTCAAACATATCAGTTGTGTTAATCAGAGTTATACTTTATAATTATTAATTTATTATTCTTATATATATAGTTTTGAAGAATTAATCGAATTATTCAATAATTTAATAACAAGAATTGTTATTTATAGAGAGACAACGTATCTCGACTAATTTGAAATCAAACATATAAATTTCTTTTTTTTTGTTGTCGAGAAAAGTGATGATGAATTCAATTCAAATCTATCAGTTAATGATCTTTCGAATGACATAAATAAATAAAATATGATGTTCGTTTATCGGCTCATTTTCATAATGAATTTAATTAAAGTAGGCGCGTTTTCTATAACAAATCATCATTTTCAGATAGTATCACATGATTTAATCTTAAACAACTGAATGTCTGTAAATATTTCTGAGAAAAAGTTAGTAAATCAAAACTTGTTAAAATTAAACGATGAACTTCGTTTCGAAATAGAGATCATCAAATATCAACTGATAATCAGTTACCAGTATTCACAGATGCATGGCAAAAAACACTTTATCAAAATACATTTCGTATTGATTCAATACAATCGCAATCAACTTCACCTACTATTGAACGAGATAAAATGAATCATCAATTAACAATTGAAATATTTGATCGATTATTAAAATTTGGTAATGAAACTGTAAGAGATTTTTTTGTGTAATTTATTTATAATCAACAAATGACTTTTCAGGATAGACCATTATTTTGTCAACGTTTACAAGTTATATGGGAAGAACAAGGTATTTTTTGTCAAACACATCCAACAATTACCAGTCAAATACTCGATTTATATAAACTACATCATATAGTTCAAGAAAAACAAGGCTATTTAGAGATAACAACAAATCGAGGTTGGAAAGAAATATCAAATGTATTAGGTTTTGGTGATTCTGGTATAAAGAAACGAAATTTAATTATATATTTAATTTCTTTTTTTTTCAAGGTTCAGCTGCATATAGTGTCAAACGAAACTATGTTCGATTAGGTTTATTAGCTTATGAATGTCGTTTTGATAGAGCTGGTATTGATCCACGTTCAGTTATTGAATTATCAGAAATGCCTCATACAGTTAGTTTTAAAATTTTAAAAAAAAATTTATTTTATGATATTATTTTAGGTAAAAAAAAGAAAACGTGGAAATCATACATCGTCAACAACAACACGTACAGTTATTAAGGTTATTTAAAATATTCAATATATCATAAATTTTGATTCAAAAACGAGAGATAGATCTTTTTGATTGTCAAAGTTTTTTCTTGTTTTTTAATTTAATAATATTTAACTAGAATAATAAACAACAACTTCAGACACATTCCATACAACATGAATATGATGATTTACAAAAACCATTAATACTGCCGAAAGATGTTCATAATCCATCAAAATATTCTTCTTATTATCAAAATATTTCACCTTTATTTCGACTTACACCACAACAAATGCCTATCAATGATTTTCAACATATTCCATTTTTATTACGTGCTGGTTATTTAGCTGATAGTAACAAATATTTAGATACACTTCTTGTTTGGCTTAGTGATCCATATACAGCTTCTTATTTTAATTTAAAATCTTTATCTGGATTATTTAATTCTATTATGGAACAATACATAGGTAAATATTGTTATTGTTTTTTTTTAATGAAAAAAAAAATATCTTTATTTAGCTTGTCTTTATGAATTATTTGACCAATCATTTTTACAACCATCCTCTACTAATGATTATTATATTAATTGGTTTCTTGAATTAAAACTACGAATTAATGATAGTATCACTGGACCCAAGTCTAATGAACAACGTTTAGAATCATTATTTTTTGGTACACATCGATATGTACTTCAACGATTAATGACAAAAAGTACAAAACCAAGATTAAATAATATTAATAATCATAAACAACATACTGATCGTTATCATTCTATTATGATACGATGTTCATGTCTTTCAACAATAATACGAAATTTATCATTTATTGAAGAAAATGAATATTTAGCTAATGATCGTTGTTTATTAGATATTCTAGAACGAATATTAAATTATTCTCATTACGATATGCATAAAATATTTAATTATCATTCACATGTACATGAAAATAATTTTGATACATGTTCAAATTGTTCTAATATAATCAGTGATGATAAAATAACAATGGAATCTACAAATCAAGTATGTTTTGAAAGAGATAAAGAATGAGTAATCAGTTTTGATTTTATTCTTTCTAGAATGACTTTTTTCAAAAATTTACTGAACCATCAACAGATATGAAAATTGTTGATGATCCATTAGCTTGTACAAATGATTGTAATCTACAACATTTAATGTATCTTCTTGATAATACATTTATTACACTTTCTAATTTATCAACATCTATAGAATTTCGTTATTATTATTCGATAACACGTTATCGATTTATAAATACAATTATTCATTGGATATTATGTTTATTATCATTTGCTAATGAACCATTTATTTCAATGATTTTAGAAGATAAATTTTCAATAATATCATCTACTTCAAATAAAAAGAACGAACAAATATATATATCACCACGTGACATATCTCTACAAATCTTAGCTAAATTATGCATCAATGAAATTAATGTTGATTATATTTTACTTGATTTGGATTCTAAACAACTCGTATCATTAAGTCATGCTCTTCTTTCAATAATGAATTCATCGAATCAAGAAGATATTAATCGAGAATATTGTTTATTAATTATTTGTTCATTATGTAAACGTAATCAAAAATTAGTTGAGTTTTTTTGTTCACATATTATTTGTATTGAATTAATATTTAATTATCTTGAATATTATGAATATAATCAACAACAATATTTAATTGCAACATTAACATCATATTATAATTCAACAACAACATCATCATCAAATATACCAATAAATCATTCCGTCGATATGATGATAGATTCATGTATACAATTGTTATTATTATTTGCTTCAATTAAAGAAAATAATTGTTTAAAATTATTCGAATATAAACTTGTTGATATGTCATCATCGATTTATTTCGAACAAAAAATATTAAAAACTTTTGCAGATATATTATTTATTATAAAAACATAATTCATGTATTTATTAATTTGTACTTTCAAATAAATTGAAAACTAATTTCAAATAATTGCAATAATCGATAATTTTTGATTGATTGAGAAACTTGAAATGTCAAACAAATCCTTTGATCTATATCCAACATGTTTTATCAATGTTGATAACATGATATATAAGCTAAAGAAGTCATTTGAACTAAATAATAGATATTATATTGAATTATATTTAGAATCAAGAATTCCAATGATACAAGATTATTTTATATGTATAACTTTATATTATGAAAAATTTTGTACAATATTTCTCAGTCATCATTTAAATTAGTTTTTTATCGATAATTTCTTGCATTTGGCCTCAAGACTCTGATGAAGAAAAACCGTATGAATAAAAGAAAGAAAAAAGAAAAGTACAATGTCGATATCATACTTCAAGAACTGAAACTTTTTTCATTGGTAATTTTTGCTTGGAAAATATTATTTTTTAATTGAAGACGAACTATTTCATCATTTTGTGCTACACAGCTAAATCAAAATAATAAAATCAATACTGAAAAGAAAGTACTGTTAGCATTTAATCATAACTATTCTTGAAACACATTTAATTTTTCTTACAATTCGATAATTGCAGTATTTAACACAACATGTTCATTATTCTAAATAGACTTGAACTATTAATTTGAATTTATAAAGTAGTGAAGAGATATCGCTTCTCCTAATACATACATTTCTACTAGTTATCAATGCTGAGATAATGTACTTTTACGGTATCTTTTAACAGAAGATCATGATGTCTCATTTAAGAATATTAGGAAAAACTGATTTATAAAATTTTGACTTGAAATTTAGCACACAAATAGATTATTGTAAAAGCTTGATATCATTTCGTTATTTCTGTCATAAAACATGAGTATGGCACAAGTATATCTACGATTTTCTGTTAACAATAAAGATTTTCAATTTGCTAAGCGTTCATTCAAAAAGAAAGAACTTCTCTGATTCATCATTAGAAATGAAACTACCTTGATAGTTTGATTATCAGTATTGTTAAAACTAAGTTGCTCAACACTATTTTTAATTCTAAAAACACAAGATTAAGAATGATGAACATAAATCATTATTCAGCGTACAATTGATATTAAATAATAATATTATTGCTGTTGATAAGCCTATGGAAGATTACATTTGATAATAGAAAACAAAATCCTTCGAAAACTAACTATCGTATTTTTTGAATATTCTAATTCCGCTTGTCGTTGTTTACACAATGTTTTTAAACCATCATTAAACTTTTGTTCTAATCAAAAACATAAATACAAAAAAAATTGCTTTCTTAGTCTTTACTGTGTTCAGAAGAAGATTCCAATGATGTATATTGATCACGAATTTCTTGAAAAGATTGTTCTGATTCAAGGATTTTCTTTTGATAAATATCACGCTCTTCAAAAAATTGTCTTTCTTGTTGATAAATTAAATTAGTATCTTGTACTAATATTGCACAAGATTGATCAAATGATTGTGATTGTCCATCATTTGTACGTGTTGTTAATGTACGTGTAACTGAACTTTCAAGAATATAGAGACGAGCAATGACTCGAGGTTTTCTTGAAAGAAATCAATACCAATACGTTTACTGATAATTTGTTCAGGTGATTCACTAAAATAAAATAAGTCAATTGGATTTCTTTTTAAATGAAAAAATAAGATATGTAGAATGTTTTGGATATTAATGAAGAATATAAGACAATTAAACAGGTATACTTTTCAAAAAAAACATTATTACATTTATTTTTTGATTATGTATTCTAGTTATTGGTTTAGCTTAATCTCTTAATTATCGACCATTAGAATAAACAGCTACAGGAAAAACAACAAATAAAACAATGAATATCTTTTGTTGAAAATTAAACAAATTGATCAACTTATTGAATTTTATATAGAAAAAAAAGTATATGGTTAGATGTTGTACAAACAACTGATGCCACAACTACCTCTGAGAATAAGTAAATAGAAAATTCAAGACTAAAAAAATTTGTTTAGAATCCATTTTGAATCTGTTCTTTCAGCTTCATCTATTTCACAAATTGAACGTTATCACTCGATCATTAGTTTCATCTTCTCATACAAATAATCAACGTAAAGATTCTCACGAATTATTACCAGCAATTTGTCGAAAATAACATATTCGAAATATAATTATCGTTTATCTACATATGATTATAAATGGTGTGAAATTCAAATTGATAATACAATTGATGTTGAATTTGAATTTGGACATGGTTTAAGTTATACAACATTTGTTTATTCAGATCTTAATGTTTCATCAATAATTAAATGGAATGATCAAATAAAATTTACTTTAAATGTACGTAATAAAGGTCCAAAACAAGGTGATCATACAGTACTTTTATTTATTTGGGATTTTTATTGATCAACTACACCACCAAATAAAGAATTAAAAGGTTATACAAAAATATCTTTACATCCTTATGAATAACAACAAATTCAATTTATTGTTAATCAAACTGATTTATCATTTATTGGTTTAAATTTAACTCGACAAATTGAATACATTCTGATTGAAATCAAATTATATCCCTCATATCTTATTTAGACTGAGATTGATCGAAACATAAAACTTAATTGTTGTAAAAATCATATTTTCAGATGAATTGAGTTTATAAAATATTATATTGAATTTCTAAATATTAATAAATATTTCATATAGTCTTAACCCGTCTTTGTGCACTTTAAAAGAAACCTTCTAAGTAAGCAAAAAAATGAACTGAATCTCTGTGGATATAATTGGCTTGTATAGTGATAACATATTTGATAGAGATAAGATTATTTATTTGAAAATGAAAAGTATTCAAGTATAATCACATTTTATCCAAGAAAATTGCCAATTAGTTGGTTCTGTTTCATTCGTATTTCGGATAAAATCAGAATATGTTGGTGCCAGTAAAGACTGTTGTTCTATTGTTATTGAGTTCTGTTGTCATAATACTTGAGCTATCGATCTTTGTTGTGGTGTTGTGATGGAGTTACTCCTACTTACACGATGGTAACGTTTTTTACGCTGCGCCAAAGTCCAATAACAACACCAACAGCCACAAGAAAATATCAGAGTGAAGATGGATAAAAAAAGAACTACACGTTCTGCAGTCGATGATGGTTGTGAATTGGTAGATGTTGATTCAGTGGAACTACTATTGATTCCATATTCAGCATGAACTAGTAACAAATGAAACTAAAGTTATGATTCGTTCATGTGTAAATTTGCACGTAAATACATATAGATTACTAACTAACAGAACTGATAATCCAGTGAAATATAATTTGTATTATCTAGAACTTTACAGAATTTTAACGTTTCCCTAAGATCATTTTTGAAGATCATATTCTTGGCAGTAAAGTCTGTTTACTCACTTTTATTAAGTATCTCTGTTGAAAATCAGTGAGCATACACTTTTTCTACACAAATTAATGCATGAAATTTCTAGCATCACAACAGTATCAGATAAATTCTTTCGACATTATAGTTTATAGCATATGAAATTGTCTATATACGAAGTACAATAACTTTAGATTTAATAATAGATAAAGAAAGCGGATCAATTCAATATAAAATAATAAACTATCTTAGAAATATTAGCTGTACCTCCTATATATGACTCTGTATTAAATTCATCTCTTTTTGTTGATTCTTCATACGAATCTTCCTTGGAAATAGAAGGATAATCAAATTCGTTGGACGAATCATTTGTATCAGTCTTAGGAATAAGTTGGTAGGGCGGATCGTTTGTGTCAGTCTTATCAATAAGTTGGTAGGGCGGATCGTTTGTATCAGTCTTATCAATAAGTTGGTAGGGCGAATCATTTGTATCAGTATTATCAATAAATTGATTGAACGGATCTTTTGTACTAGTCTTATCACGAAGTTGATTGAGCGGATATTTTGTACTAGTCTCATCACGAAATCGATTGAACGGGTATTTTGTACTAGTCTCATAATGAAACTGATTGAATGAATATTGCGTATCAATCCTACCAAGAAATGGGTTGGGCGGATACCTTGGTTCAATCATACCCTGATATTGGTTGGACGGATATCTTGGTTCAATCCTACCATGAAATTGGTTAGACGGATATCTTGGTTCAATCATACCCTGATATTGGTTGGACGGATATCTTGGTTCAATCCTACCATGAAATTGGTTAGACGGATACCTTGGTTCAATCCTACCAAGAAATTGGTTAGATCCGTACGGGTTTAACATTGGATTTCTGAATGTTTGTGGCACAAATAGTCTTGGTAGATTTATTATTGCCCGGATATTTCGATTCGCATATTTCTGCTCATAATCTTCACATTGAACGTTGAATAATAGTGATGAAATAAAAATAACACTCAAATAGCATGTCATTTTCAATAAGACATATTGTTAAAGTACTAAAACTACAAAAATTAATTTAAGAAAAAATTCAAATGTTTATCTAAACTAAGACATATTTTTAGAATTTCTACTTTTCAATAGAAACAATTAATACGAATTAATAATAAGAACGTATAACCTCTCACATTATAATCTAAAAGACGTTTTTCTCAGTTTTGTATCAGACAATCGAGTAATGTCATTAGAATATACTTACGTTTAATCAGTATTCATGCAATAAACTAACTGCATTTTTTCGCAAAATTCATATAGATTAGATAAAAGGAGGCAAAAATAATTCATAATCTATGCATTGTATGGGAAAATTACAGAATTAAAGGAAATAATTTAAGAGAAGAAAAGAAAGAAATTGTCGAGTATGTTTTACTAATCTGTTAATAAAATCGTTCTCATTCTTTATCTTGATCGATTCAAGAATCGAAATGATATCACATTCGAAAACATTTTTTCTTGTTTGTTTTTTTATGACTATCGCTAACATCGAATTGTGATGCAATTACCTCATTGTAATAACTCAAGTTAAAGCACGAAGGCAGTAAATAGAATATTTGAAAAGATATGCGTATTAACATCAGCAGTTTATCTTTCAATTACATTCCAACAAACAATATTAACATAAGATACGTGATGGTTTAGACAAATTCATTAGTAAAACGACTTGTTTCTTTTTTCTCGATTTCTCGTTCTCTTGGTTTATATGTAATGAATTGTTATGGATTTTTTTCTAATTCAAAACTTTCATCGATTGACACAGAGTCAAAATAAAATATAAATTTATGAATATGCAGTTTCTGATCACTGATAAATTCACACCGATGTTATAGAACATATTAGCTGTACAGGTAGTAGCATTGATTTGAATATCGATATTGATCTGTATGAATTGAAATGCAATATATTGAATAGTATGACATCTTTTGAACGTTATTAAAGGCAACTATAGAAATTTTTCAT